CCCCAAAACCCCAAAACCCCATCCTATAAAGATATAGATTTTTTAAAAATCAAATTAACTCTAATAACTAATCAATAATCTAATTAAAGAGATCTATTACTTTCTTTGAATCTAAGTTTATTTTACTCGTTCCAAGTGCTAATCTCAAATACCCATTATGTGAAAGCGAATTAAAAACCATAAATTCTTATAGATCACCATAAGATGAAAACATCATCCTATCTGTAGAAGCCCCTCCAATAATCAATGGTTTAGGAGAACCATTAAGATTAGACCAAGTTTTCCTAAAATTAGCAAGTAACGAACTTATCCATTCTTTTTTCGATGACTATGTCAGGTAAAAGATATGCAATATTCCTCATTGCTGTAAATTCACTTAAACCAAGATCATTTGTCTTTATGCACTATATTTAATCTGTAAATACCCTCAAAGTCTCTTTAAATTGCTATTCTAAGCAAAGATTTGTAACTTTGAAGCTAAATATGCTCTCAATATTAATTCTTATTTAATGAGCAAATGTTCTATTGAAGAGTCTAAAATCAGATTTTTTTACGACTTGAGATCGCTAATTAACAGCCATAAATCCTTCGAATATTTTATAATCTTTTATATTATTAGCTAAGCAGTAATCTCTCATAGATAAAATACTTGCTGCTATAAGCAAATCATTGATAGAACATCCAAACCTCCTGCATATTTTCTACTTGAGTTCATCAATTTTCATATCTTTGGAAATAGTTATCTAAGTTTTTTACTTCTCAACTCTCTAACTTAATTCTGAGTCACGATACTTTTGAGGATAGTTTTTTAAATGAAAATAAATCCCGATAATGCATGCAGCATATCTTTTGATGCTCTCTTAGAGAGATCTTTATCTTACATATGGTAGATTCGAAGGATCAAATTCATCTTGTAAGGCACAAAACATGTTCATAGTTCCCACTCCATCTGACATGCCATGAGAATACACAAGTACTACTGCTGATTATTCTGAATTAAAATCAAGCTTTACCATAATTCTATACTAGATTGATTCTCTCGGTAGATCTTTGATTTAATTAGCGGCAATATAGTCTATTAGTTCTTATTCATTTTTAAAATCATGAGGAATCTGCGAAATGGCCCTATCCAAATGTTTCTCAAATTCCTCATCGCTTAACTTTTTGTAGTAGAAGTTATTGAACACTTTAATTAATTTAGATCTCATTTCTGGTAATCCTTGCGTGTTTCTCAATATTTACTGTTTTATACTATTAATATCTCTGATCTTAGTCTTAGTTATTACATGGAAAATAGTCATTACATTTGATCTAAAGAATAAGTTGTCTGGTCCTTCAGGAACCTTGATCATATTTAAATAATTCTCCAAGTACCAATGAATGACATAATCTATTATCAGATAAATAATAACTCCTTTAAAAAAGGTTGTTTAGGAAATAAACAGATAGCAAATTAAGAGTTTCAAAAAGGTCACGAATGCTGATAGTTAGTAATTCAAAATGCTAAGGTACATTTATTGGTAATTAAAAATTTATTATATTATTGAGAAAAATATTATCTTCCTTAATAAATGTTTAACGGGGTTTTGGGGTTTTGGGGTTTTTGGGG